TTATGGACTTTTTGCATAAAACAGAAAAAAATGAACTTATGATCTATGGTTTTGATGATTAAATAGGATAGATTACAAAAAGAGAAAGAGATAAATCTACAATTGCACTTATAATTGCTGTAAAGAAGATCAGAATATCTTTTTTATATCTTTTTCTTTCTTTTCTATTTCTCTTCCACCTTTTTTTCTTTTGTTTTTGCACTTTAGCTTTCTCTTCTAGTTCTTCCTCTTTTTTCCTTCTTATTCTATTTTAGTTTGTATTAATTTTTACTCTTGATTTTAAAACTTCCAATAAAATTATAATCATGTTTTTATAGCAGAATTTCTAAAATCCAGTATATTCTCTTAACAAAGAACAGTAGAAAAAGGGAGTCCAACACAGTGTAAAGAGACAGCAACACTTTTGACATTAAAAAAGGGCTTTTTGAAGCAACCTTTTCCCTTTTGGATCATGGTCACTGTCTTTATCAGCATAGACATATCAGGTGCGGCATGATACTTAAAAATCACAAGTAACATAATGTTATTGCACTCAGTTTTTAAAAAGATCCACAAAGGGAAGCTTCCATCCTCCTCCTCAGAATCACAGTGGAGGAAGGGAAGGAGAACATAGAAACCCAAGGTTCCTTCACCTGATATAATTCATTCATTGTTGCCTCTGAACACAATTACATGCTAATCCATGAAACTTACACTTGACCATGGAGAAACTTGAAAATAATTGCTTAAAGACTTTTCAAGTGCCTCCTAGATAATTTATTTTGCAGATGGAGTATGCCCTTGATCTACTAGTTCATAAACATCATAAGATATAAACAAATCATACCACAATCTTGCTATAAAGAAATGGACTTTACTACTGGGATTAGAAGTCAGAGAACTGCTTTCAGTTTTTAAAAGATGTTGTCGTACCTCGTGCTTTCTGTGGCAGAGGGCTTTTCTCCTCCATAAAGAAGTAGTGAAAGACCATCATCTGCAGCAGCAATTCGCGCCAAAATATCAGCTATATGTGTAAGAGTTGTTTCTGGACAATTCAAATTCACCTGTGTGTATATTTAAAAATGTCTGAAGATAATTTACAAGCATAGCTAATAGCAAATTAGCATAACAATATGAGAGCTCAGGCTTCTTTTAATCCTTACTATGAACCAGATCATGTCAATGAAGTTACAGGGTTCTGCTGATACTCTTTCATTTCCACACTGAAATCCTTCCAGTTAGATTAATTTCATCATTTCTCAAAACCTTTTTAAAATGGCCCACTCTTTTCAACCCCCCAAAGATTCCAGCTAAATTTTAAATTGTCCTGACTCTAAGTTCAGTTCACAGAGTTTTCTAAGAACTGGATGTACAAACAAGCAGAGAAAGGTGAAGACTATCTGGGCTAATTCTCCTCTATATCCCCCACTTCCCCCCACCTCAATTATGGGAATTTCTAGCAGAGTGGTACTATAGATTGCATGGTGAAATAAAAAAAAAACCTGACAACTCTGCCATTCCACATCCGTCTTGGATGCATACTTCTCGGAATACTTCCTTCTCTTAGCAGAAGAGCAGATTCAGTTCTAACCCATTATGTTTCATTTCACTGTGCTTGCCAAACTATTTAGAATTTTGCTTGGCTTCAGTCACCATAAGTGATCATTTACGAGCAAAAATAATGGCATTCCTGTTTGAAATTATAGCAATTATGAAGGGGGAAAAAACACCTTAAATATCACCCAGATGGTTTGTTAGCACTGCTGCACAATTATAGACAAGTAACCTGATCCACAAAGTCAAATTCACATTGCAATTCTGTACTGAGTGGAGAAAAAGGCCCATGGAATTCAACAGAACTTACTTCTAAGTAGAAATCACAAGATTATACTGATAGGCTTTGAAACCAGCTTGTTCAACCATTTCTGGATGGGGTATCATACTTAGCAATTAGATATGAATTGAATACATCTAAGTGAAGCTCCCACAAATAACAATTCAGATTTCTTGTATGTTTTACAACCTAAATAAAAATGTAGTCACTTTCAATTCAGTATCTCAAATACAGTGAGTTTGCCAGAGCCTTGACTTTGGCTAGACTCTAGCTGGAACACTGCCATTGTGGGTCCTCCCTACCTCCCCCCCTGCCCGTATTGGAAATTGAATAAAAATGAAAGAAACCTCTGTTCCATTCAGTAAATAATGTACTGGTTGAAGAAGTTCCTCTATCACTGTATTCGTATATAGACATTCAGTGGCACATTCCTTTCGATCACAAAGGACCCTGAGTATATCAGTAATGAGGCCAGCTGGAGAATAATTGCCTGACAAATAAAAAAACAACAAAAAAAAACCTTGTTTCAAAATAGTAGCATGCAACTGATAACCCTAAGGCAAACAGAAAAAGAAAAATACAACAACATGTTTATTTATTTACTTACACAACTTATATGGCCACCTGTCTCACTTAATAATCCTAGGCAGATCACAATAACTGATAAAAACAGAGGTAAAAACAAAACCACCCTTCCCACCAGGCACCAGAACAAACAGCCTCCTGACTCACCCCTATCCTAGCCAGTGTTGGAGGAAAGAGCCAGGTCTTCATGGCCTTCTGGAAGGCTAAGAGGGTAGGAATCTCTCAAATCTCACATGGGAGGCGATTCCAAAGGGGTGGAGTGGCCACCAAAAAGACACACTTCTGAGGTCCCAGCAGGTGACAACATTTAAGGGAGGAGACTACCCTATCTAACCTAGTGGGACAGGCAGATACCTTCAGTGTGAGGAGGTCCTGCAAATAACCTAGTCCTGTTATTCCTTTTCCCTCACTATCACTCTCACTTCTACTCCAAGTCAGATATTAAGGGCTACTGCAGCTTCATAACACATAGGATATTCATCTGTGTCTACAGACATAAGCAGATTAACCCCCAGGAGACACTCTTTCCTCAAAATAAGTCGTTTATAAAATAACAGTGCATATAAATGAGAATTATTACCTGAATGCACAGTAAGGGGTTTGGGGCAATTTGGGGAACAATAAATGAGACGAGTAAACATTATGATGAGGTCTGTCAGTGTCATCAGATCTAGGGAAATCAGAATGGAAAAAAATATTTGAAAATGCAAGCCATGTAAAATGTTTTTAGTAACAATGCGTGGAACAATATTTAGGTACAAATTCAATATAAACAGATGAAGCTGCATTTCCATTTCTTACAGCTTAATCAACTGAAGCCATTAAATGAACCATAATTAGCTAATTTCAAGTATAGTGCTCTTCTAGCAATGTCAAAATAGTTTGTCAGATTCATTTATTCCTCCAAATAATTTAATCAAGAAGGTTTGTTGCTTTTTTTTAACAGCCACAGGGCAAGGAGACCATGTAAAGAAACTCCATCTTATTTTCTAGGATAATGTCTTCATTTTTCCTGTCATAAAATGGTTCATTTCAAACACAAAACCACACTTCCACACTACATGAATGACCACTACCAAGTTACTTCTTCCAGAATCACCATGAAAAAAACTGAAGTTATAATCACAAGTAATGATAAGCCATGGTTTGCATTAACCAGTTGTAGACTTATCCATGAATGGCATGTAACATGACATGGCAAAACACTGACAGTGCTTTGCTTCTTTCCTCATCCTTGGTCAATATTTTACACTACAATTATTTGGTAGTGAATAGATGGGTAGCACTAAAAAGAAAAGAAAAGAAAGACATATGGTGGTCCAATCGGGGTCAGTATGTATAGGGTGAGAAAGTTAATCTTTACTGCGGGCCATCTGTTTTTGGTCATAAAATTTCCAGCTAAAAACTATGAAGAGGGTAGGCAAGATATAAATACTTGAACATGGTTGAGTTAACGCACTAAGACTAATCATATTTTGGCTTAAATATTATGCAAATCAGGACAATGTTATATACAATCATAGTTATATACAAACTGGGAAATGCAGATTAATCTATGGTTTGTTAACAATCCAGAACATACATCATGATTAGAATCCTCCCAAATTTCAATAAGTCAACCAGAACTCTTTCCATTCTGTGGAAAAACTATGATGGATCCAGCCTTCTCCTATCTCTTGCTAGGAGAAATCTAGTTTAGAATCCTTGTAAATTCTTGTAAATAAATACATGATCAGATGTAGCCACACCCAAATCAGCATCACTCCATATCCCAGGCTGACTTTCCTGATGACTCAGCATTGTAAGAATCATTTAGAAAACACCCAGTCCAATCAGTGAAGACACTTGTATTTCTCTCTTTGGAAACTATTCTCACTTCCCTAAAAAAAAGCCATTAATTCAAATGGGTTTAATCAAGCAGCTGATGGGGAGTAAAGGCCAAACTCTGCTGTGAAATCCCAGGGATTCTCAAAGGTTAAAGTCCGTAATGTATTTAGGTAGCTAAGTTTGAGAAGTCTTAGTAGTATAATCTATGGTTTGGTTTATTTTAAATAGTAATTCATCACTCCTGACTCTTCTCTGCTGGATTCTTTAATAAATTAATTGAGTTGAAAAGTGGAATTGATTTAATTGTACTGCTTAGCCTGGGGAATGGTTTATCTACAGACCCAACCAGGAATCTCCATTCTTTACAGGGTGATGGGCGTATTGCAACTTGATGTTGCCTATCAGCTTCTCCTGCCCACCATCCCATAGGCCACTCCCTGATTATTTCTGTCCTTGCTCTGACCCAAGTGAGGACATTTCAAAACAAAGCCCTTGACTGTAGCCATCCATTATTTTCATTTGAAGTCCAGAAGCATTTTGGGAAATAATAATGGTGCTTGTGGCCATGATTTTGCCTTACAGCAGTGTTTCTCAACCTTGGCTGGCTGGGGAATTCTGGGAGTTGAAGTCCACCCATTTCCAAGTGGCCAAAGCTGAGAAACACTGCCCTACAGAATGCGAGCATCTCATATTTCATTGCCTTGAGCTCATGAACTAAATATGATAGACATACAGAAAGATATAAATCAACACACACACGCGTGTTTGTGTGTATGGATTGGGTGGGCACGTTGGGACCTCCTGCATCAAATGGAAGACTCCAGTGCCACACTTACCTAGTTCTTTATGCAGATTAAAGGATAGCTCTGGGAAAGAGTCTGTCCTTTTCTGGAGGTGCAATCCTATGGCCTGCATTCTTTTATGTTCAGGGGTAGGTTTAGTAAGGATTATAAATCACACAAGTGATGGCAGCTTTTCTACCTCTGAATTATATGAGAAAGGGGGGTTGGTGAGCTTTCTTACCGAACAGGATTACAAGTGCATACATTCTGATTGCCACAGTAAACTATAAAATGAAATGATCTCTTTGCAGTCATGCTGGAGAAGGGAGAGGAAAATATAGGACCCCAAGACTTTTTGCTATGTGCATATCAAGATTACATTTACTGTTAACTGGATTATTTTTTCCACTCTGTCTTTTGCTGTTGGCACAGCCTTGTGTGTGTCCATAAAACTTATACTTTGTTTTCCATCCTCTCCCACAGTATTATCTACTTATTTTTCACAGAAGAGAGATGAGCTTAACATACCCCAAATGGAAAACCTTTGGGAAAAGCAGTCATAAAATAAAACAAATTGTCATCTTTTTCATTAAGTCCTTACCTTTTCTATTTTTCAGCTGAATAGGAAAGAGTCTTCTGCCTTGTTTATATATTAACAATCTGCCTAAGAGGCTCAGGGAATGAACAAAATAAATATATTGCAATTCTTTTCCTGTGTAGAAATTATTTTGTTTATTACCTTAAAAGAAAAGACAGCTTATGTCAATAAACATGTTTTCTCTTGCTCTGCCCTTATGTCCTAGTGTACAAAACTCCTATTATTAATGGATAATGTTTATAAATTTTATACAAAATACATCTGATAACAACAGCTGGTTTCAACATTTCAAGGGGAAACCTTTGTAAAATAGAGACAAACAATCTGAAAAATGGATGTGGGAATTTTGAACCTGAATATATCCCAACAGTCTTAAGCCAGGTCTCGCCAGAATGGAATCTGCCTACCCCATCCATCATATATGGAGGGCTGGTTAAGATTTCCACCCTGTATCTGCCAAGCATGCAGGGGAACAACAGGCCTATTCTGTGGTAGCCCCCTCAGTCCCCTACATCTGTAGACCCCACAGTCCCCTACAAACAATTAAAATCAGTATTATTCTAATGAGCCTTTGACGCCAGCTGATCTTATTGTGGGCATCTATCTTAGTTATTTTATATATCTTCACTACTTTATTCCCATTCAGTTTTGTTGAGAAATTTCCACTTTTTTTGTTTTGATGTTACATTTTGTTTTAGGTGTTATTATACACTGCCCAGAGCCTTTCAGGACTGGGATGGTTTAGAAATGATGATACGTAAAGAAATAAAACTTGCCATTAAAAGACATATTGGCACACCACTATTCACTGTATTAGAACAGTATAAGTAATAAAAGGATTTTTAAAATATATATTATATAGCAGATGGAAATAGCACATACTATTATGTGATGTGGAAAATGAATTAAACGTTCCTGATCCATTCATTGCTGGTTCACAAGCTTCCAAATATGAAGCACACTGTTCAACAGTTGCAATGATCTGAAACATAAAATGACAAATCATATCAAGCCTCATAACAAAGACCCTGTATTGTACAATTTTTCTAGAACCTCCAAACAGTGTTTCATCTCATTTCGATCATTAGCAAAGTTGCACTTAATGTGATTTTGCCTCACCCCAGTACACTATCTGTACAAAAGATGCATCTAAGTGACAAGATGAAATATATATCTGGTCAGTCACTCCCGCCCTGGTCATCTCTCGGTTAGACTATTGCAATGCGCTCTACATGGGATTACCCTTGAAGAGTATCCGGAAGCTACAGTTGGTTCAAAATGCAGCCATGCAGACAATTTTGGGTGCCCCAAGGATGGCACATATAACACCTTTACTGTGGGAGCTGCATTGGGTGCCAGTTTGCTTCCGGGTCCAATTCAAGGTATTGGTTATTATCTTTAAAGCTCTACATGGCATGGGTCCAGGTTACCTGAGGGACCTTCTCATCCCCATCACATCAACCCATCCCACCCAGTCAGGCAGAAAGAGCATGTTGTGGACCCCATCAGAGAGAGAATGTCAGCTGGCGGGGCCCAGGAGGAGATCCTTCTCTGCCATTGCCCCCGCCCTTTGGAATATTCTCCTCCCATTGGTGCGGTGGGCCCCTACCCTCCCAGCTTTCTGGAAAGGATTAAAGACTTGGCTCTGTCAGCTTGCATGGAGTGATAAGAGCTCTAATCGATCCTCGGGGTGGCTGGCGCCCTGATGACGCTCCCTGAGCTATTTGCCAATTCCCATCCTTTTTGGAATGTATTTATTATTTATTTAAGATTGTTTTTATATTGTATTTTAATTGATTTTATCTATTCTGTACACAGTCCAGAGTCACTTTTTAATGAGATGGGCAGTGACAAATCTGATAGATAGATAGATAGATAGATAGATAGATAGATAG